TACCACCGCCGCCGCCACCACCACCACCACCACCACCACCACCACCACCACCACGATAATGATCCTCATCATCTTCATCAACTTCTTCGTCATCATTGCGACTATTGTGCTTAGTGGGCAGTCATCGAGTTCTTCCTCAGCGAAGCCTTAGTGCTTCAAGTCGACTCCCCTTGCCTAGCTTGACATCATGATAGAGTCCACAGAAACCAGTCACGGTTTAGGTTTAAGGCATGTTTAGGGTAGAGGATTAAGCGTTGAGGGTTAAGGGATCAAGGTACGCCTTGAGGGTCTAGCCATGTATGCTGGATAGTTAGCAGTCTGCCTGGTTCACTAAAGTAGCCTTCGCCGCTTCTGAGCTTATCGTTGCAGCCAACGGAAGGTGGGTTGAAGTAGGAGGACAAGGCAGGACTGGCACTTTTTGTCCATCGCAGGCAAGCTGTACAGAACCTGTGGAAAAGCCGCGGGCAGATTACGCGATCTTCTTGGGCGGCTTGCCCTCATCTTCGCTGTGATCCATGGGCTCCTCTACCTCGACGGCCTTACTTCCCCACTGAATCAATCAAGAAAACTTGAGATTAGCTTTTCAGAAGATTTACTCCATCGTAGGAAAACTGTGGGAACACAAAAAGCCTGAGCGTTTTGGGGCATGGTATATATTCTACTGTAATCATATTTAAGGGAGCCCAAAGACAAGTGTTGGTGACGTAGAGCCCTACAAAACCTAGAGCATCCCAAATAAGAGCCTGACTGAAACCCTATAATTATAAACCCTACAGCAACCTCTATATGTAGCCTTCTGAACTAAGGATCATGATCATTCTCGTCGGCGAGATCTTCGGTCTCGGCGTCGACATCGTAAGCGTCCTCCGAATCTTAAACCCCAAACCTCTAAACCCCCAAACCCGTAAACTCCTAAAGCCCTGAACCCCAACCCCCTAAACCCTAGACCCTAAACCCTAAAGCCCAAAAGCCCTAGACCCCAACACCCCTAAACTCCTTAGCCCCTAAACCTTAAACCACAAAACCCTCAAGCCCTAAACTCCTAAACCCTCAAAGCCCTAAACCCCTGAAGCCCTAGACCACAAAACCCTAAAGCCCTGAAGCCCAAACCCCCTAAACCCTACACCCTAAACCCTAGAACCCTAAACCCTAAACCCTAAACCCTAAACCCCTTTAAAAGCCCAAAGCATCCTCCGACTCCTCAGACTCCGAGCCGGTGATGGGCATGGGCTCGTCTTTCAGCGTCTTCTCAAGCTCCTTTATTTGGTGGTTTAGGTTTTTACCCTAAACCCTAAACCCTTTTTCCGTCCACAGCATCCAGGCCACAGTCAGAAGGTCCCGAGACCAGGGGGTTTAGGGTTTAAGATTTAGGGCTTAGAATCTTAGGGTTTAGGGGCTTGGGGTTTGAGATTTTATGACTCAGGGTTTAGGGTTTAAGATTTAAGGCTTAGATCTTGGGGTTTCAGGGTTTGGGTTCTAGGGTTTAGGGTTAAGGCTTTAGGGGTTTAGGGTTTGAGATTTTATGACTGAGGGTTTGGGGTTTAAGATTTAGGGCTTAGATCGATCTTAGGGTTTACGGGTTTGGGGGGTATCAGGGTTTCGGGTTTAGGAGTTTGGCGTTTAGGGCTTGCGGGTTTATCGTTTTAGGGTTCATGGCTTTAGCGTCTGTGCGTTTAGGGTTTGGGGCTTTAGTGTAGGGGCCTTAATAATTAGAATAGGGTTCTGGGCCCCGTTTATAATAAGGAACACTAAAAGTAACCTTGGTAATTATTTAGGTTTCTATATCAGGCTTTAGAGTTCATGGCCTTGGGGCTGGAGGGTTTCATCCAGGGGCCTTGGTGATTGGAATACGTATCTTGTCGTACAGGTACAAAAGGAACCCTTAGGAACAACATTGGTGAGTAATCTAGGGGCCTTAACAATTAGAATAAGGTGTTGGGGTATATTATTTGTTCTTATAATATAGGGCACACCACCCCCCCTTCCCCCCCAAACAAAAACAAAAAAAGTATAGGTAATGATGTAGGCGTTTAGGCGTTTATATAAATTACTCAGGCTTCTGTATTGGGCTCCTTGCGGTCGGCATCACTGAGCTTGCTGCTCTCCTTGTCCTGCTTCTGGATCTGTGCTTCCTCCTTCTTGTTCTCCTCGTCATAGTCCTTCTCGAAACTTACGATCTAGGTCTAAACCCTAAACCCTTAACCCTTAAGCCTTTGGGGGGCTCTGGGTTTAGGTTTCAGGGTTGTCCTGCGCGGCCATCTGATCCTTGATCTCGGCCTCTTTGAAGTCTTCCTCCCTGAGTTCTTGTTGAGGAACGCTCTCTGTTTAAGTCGACACCATCAGGAGAACCGTCTTGCTTACTACACATGGCTGCTTGGGCAACTTGTGTTAAACCTTAAACCCCACACCCTGACCTCAAACCGCCCGAAGCCCCTAAACGCAGACCCTAAACCCCAAGAATCAAACTAAATTCCGCGTACACCCTAAAACCTAAACCCTAAACCCTAGACCTTTAAACCCCAAAGAAGATCCTAGATTCTCGTCGCTGGTGTCATCCGCATCCTCGGCCTCCTTCTGCACCTTGATTTGAGAGCCGATCTTCCTTTAAAAAGACTCCTTTTAAGGGCTCCCTTAAAGGTTCGTTTAAAGGGGCTCCTTCTAAGACTTCCTTTAAGGGCTCCTTTTAAAGGGACTCCTTGAAGGGTTTAGGATTAAGGGCTTTAGGGTTCCTTTTAGAGCTCCTACGGCTCTAGGGTTCTTTTTGAGTTCCTTTGCGGTTTACAGGGTCCGAGTTCTATGACTCCTTTAACGGATCTTCTATGAGCTTTAAAGGTTCCTGTGAGGGATCTGCTATAAGGATTTAGCGTGCTAGGGTTTAGGGTTTTTTGGCCGGGGATGTACTTTAAGCTAGGTTGGCCCTTTAAAGCCTGTGAAACATGCTCATAAATTAAGACTCTCTTAAGCCCAATAAGCCGCAAAGGCCTACTTAGTAAGTAACAAACATCCATAAGAAAGAAAGCATGCTCTCCCTTTCCACTAGAACGCAGGGAGGACAGAACGTACACAGCCTTCAAAACTTCAAGAAGTCCTCAACCCTTAACCCGAAACGGCTCCTAACCCCAAACCCGATAAACCCTAAGCCCTAAAGCCCTAACCCCTGCATTAACTTACCCAACCCTACTTTTTTGTAGGCTCCTACTATAAACCCTAATATGGAATTCATAGGGACCCTACAGAATAGTAGGTTTTGGTAGGTTAAGGTAGGGGTGTTAGGATCGACCGCCCAAAAGCGATGCTCTTTGCGGCTTGTCGGCTGCGTGAGGAAGCTACCATTAGGGTTTAGGGATTTAGGGCGTTGAAAGGTTCAAAAAACCCAGTTCAACCCTCTGCCCCCAGCCCCCGTCACACTCCACCCTATACCCTACCCAAAGAACCCCAAATCCGTGAATTAAGGAATATACCTTAAAAAATAATGGCCTTAATATTATGATTTAAGGTATATTCCTTAATTAAGTGGTATTGGGTTCTCTGGGTAAAGCCTGAATCCTGAGCGTTGAAAGCCCAGGTAATTTGTAACTTTGCCGCGGCCTGGCTGTGCGCGTGGGGATGTGGGAATCGGGAGTTGACAAGTTGTATTGAGGGCGTTTTGGAGCATAAGTGCTCTAGAAATTCAATCAGCTTCTGAGGTTTTATGTGGGTAGTTCTCTAAATTAGAGTCCCTTTTAAGGTCACCAATGTAGTACGGCACTCTATTAAACAGGACCCCAAAAGGGACCTTAATTTCGAGTTTGAAGTCTAGAGATTAATTAGAGGGCATCGGTCTCAAGGACTTCAGTACATCAGGGAGCCCACTTTGGTTTTAGGGTTTTCGGTCTCTAGGAATTCAGTACATCAGAGAGCCCACTCAGCGTTTAGGGTTAAGGGTCTCTACGGAACATCAGGCAGCCTGCAATCCCACTCTCCCCCCCTGTCCTCAATCGCTCAGCCTTTGGGTCCTTTAACATGGGTTTAGGGTTTAGGGTTTAGGGTTTAGGGGTACTTGTCACAGACCGTCTATTCTGAAGCCGAAAATTTAGACCCCAAATCAACCGTAAACCCGGAAACCTAAACCTGAATCCCAAACCAAACTGCACCCTAAATCCCAAACCTTATAGGGGTTGTGGATGCAGGTTATAGACTTTCAGACAGGGTACACAGCGGTCTGAACACTTGCGCCGGAGGTTTCAGGAGCGGGTGCATGCTCAAGACTTGCCCTAAGGGTCCATGTGCCCAGAAAGTGGATATAAACCCTAAACCCTAAACCTTAAACCCAAAACCCTAAACCTTAAACCCAAAACCCTAAACCCTAAACCCTAAACCCAAGACCCTGAAGTACCCAAAAAGGGACAGCTTGAAGGCCACAGGTTCCCACGGTGTATACCCTTTGGGCACACGGGCCCTCCAAGCGATCCCAATACCGCCTAATTAAGGAATAGACCTTAAATTATAGGGGCCTTTATAGTATGAAGGGTATATTCGCTAATTGCGGAGTATAGGGTAGCCCTGAACCCTAAGCCCTAAATCCTAAACCCTAAACCCTATAACCTTGAGTTCGAGATTCAGCTAAAGCTGATAGCAGAGATATATTATAGCGTAATGCAACCATAACCCTAAACCCTAAACCCTAAACCCTATTAGGGTTATAAGGTTTAGGGTTTAGGGTTATAGTTGTATTACATTATCGTATATCTCTGCTATCAAACCCTGAGGCTTCAGCGTTCCCGCTTGTGGAAACTTACAGGGTCCAGAGACGTTGCCTTCGTCGTGAGCTGGTGAATCCCTAGGTTTAGGGTTTAGGGTTCCAAGGACCCTAAACCCTAAACCCTAAACACTAACCCCTAAACCCTAGGTTTAGGGTTTAAGGTTTAGGGTTTAGGGTTCCAAGGACCTTATCGCTAGGGCCCTAGACCCCTCAAGGACCCCATGCTTGGAGGATCATGGGACTTAGTAAGTAAGGTTATAAGTACCCTAATTGGGGTTATAACTATAGCTACCTTATTTGTACCCCAAGTTACTGAGTCCCATGAGTAAACCCTAAACCCTAAATCCTAAACCCTAAACCCCTAAACTCTAAACCCTAAACCCTAACAAGGTCCCTTAGAAGCTTTGGGAATGTCTCCTTTGAGCCGAGGTCTGTGCGACTTTTGACTACCTCATCCTCGTCACTGCGGCGAGACTGCATGAGCTTTTGGGGTTCAGGCTTTAGGCTCTAGGGTTTAGGGGTTTAGGGTTTAGGCTTTAGGGTTTAGGGCCTAGGGTGCATGAGCTTTTTAGGGTTTAGGCTTTAGGTTTAGGGCTTTAGGCTTTAGGCTTTAGGGGGTTTGGGTTTAGGGTGCATGAGTTTTAGGGTTTAGGCTTTAGGGTTTAGGGGTTTAGGGTTTAGGGGTTTAGGGTTTGGGGTTTAGGGTGCATGAGTTTACCCTGCCGCTCGAACATGGGGTGTTTGGGACTAGGAGGTTTTGGTTTCAGGCTGAGTGTGTTTAGGCCTTTTAGCGCTTCTTGGCAGCTGTGACCATGAAGCAATCAGGCACTTTTCATAAGTACGCACTTGGTTTGGCTCTCCGGGCCCTAAGCCCCGGCATTTGCAAGGATTTACAGTGTGGCTCAAGAGCCCGGCCCAGTGTCGACAAGGGAGCGGCCGCCGGTGCTCTCATTCGGCGACGCAGTGACAACCGTCTGGGATGGACCTTCGAAATGCGAAAGCATGATGCCGCACTTGGATGGGCGGCATCGATACACAATAGGACTTCAGCGCGCGTGACGACGAGATGACACAGTTTTCGCCACAGTGCCGTCCCACAACAGCCACATGTTGATTATGGCCTAGTCCGACACCAAAATCCACTCGATCCAATGCGATGGCCACAGAGAAAGATCTTGACGAACGCCTCCAAGAGTGCCTACTGCAAACCTGTCCCTCAGATCGGAGTCCTGGTTGCTAAGTGTTCCGTGTTCAGCGATCCGCAAAATCAAAACAGGGACTTACTTACAGTCTGATAGGTGCGGGCCTGGTTCTGAAGCTCGCAAATAACTTATGCTGCTGCCACTGCTCCAGCTTCTGCTACCGCTACCCCTACCACTGCCTACCACGACTACCGCTACCACTACTGGGCCCCCACCCCCAACCCTACGAGACCATACCATTGGTGGGGGGCGGGAACGACAGAGGTGCACATGTACCCTAAACCCTAGACCTAGACATGTACCTGATACGAACGGATCTGTTCTCGGCCAGCATGTGCTGCCGATTTTTGCAAGTTCGAAGACTCGACAACTCCAAGACTCTGGTCCTAGAACCTCAAAATCTTAGGTTCGATATCGGAGCCTCACTGAACACCCAATGTGTCTTAATCAGGTTCTTATGTGACGTCCCACCGGGCCTTAAGTTTTTAGCATCGTTGTATAGGGTTTAGGGTTTGGGGTTTAGGATCTCTGGAAAGAGGACAAACCCTGTGGTTCCAAGGGCTGCTGACACGCTGTGCCGCAGTCGAGTTCAGCGATGAACTCCTTGACCTTAGACTTGGACGTGTTCCTCACAGAGCCCAAGACGGCTAATTGAGGGAAAAGGTCTTAAACCATAATATTAAGGCCCCTATATTTTTAAGCTATATTCCTTAATGAATAAACGGGTATCGGGATCTCTGGGTCCCTCCACATCCTCTCCCCAACGCCCCTAAACTCCCTCAACCCTGAACCCTGGATCTGTAGTACGCACGGTTTAGGGTTTAGGGTTTAGGGTTTAGGGTTTAGGGTTTAGGGTTTAGGGCAAAATCCGTGACGAAACCAATGAAGCCTGGGAGAACCCTCACTGAGCACAAAAGGAGTTACAAAGAGAACCCAATACCCCTTAATTAAGGAATGTAGCTCAAACTATCGCGGCCTTAGTATTATGGTTTAAGGTATATTCCTTAATTCAGGGGTATATTGGGCTCTGTGGGTACAAAGACCAAGCATCCCAGCACGCTCGAGGTCGGATGGCATGGGGTGGCCGGCTGAGCTTTCCCTTCAGCTGCCAACAGGGCTTGTACAACTTTATTTGGATGGTTGTCAAAATTATGGTCCCTTTTTGGGTCCTTATTATAATACGGCACCTATTATTTAGGGTACCCCAAAAGGGACCATAATTTTGACAACTACCTATTTATGTAACCTTCGTAGTAGTAGGGTAATCCCAAAGCTTAACCTTCTGTCCCCTAACATACTGGAGAAGTAAGACTGCTTTTTTATAGAGATTTCTGGAGGGCTTTTGCGCGGAAATCAGGAGGCCTGCAAGGAGTGTGACCGTGGTTTACAAGGGCTGTTATGTGGGCTTCCTTGTTTCAAAGATGCCGGTAGGGTGTGGGGTTTTACAGAGTCTAAACCCTAAACCCTAAACCCTAAACCCTAGTGCTGTTTTCTTGCCTATTTCCGCAATGCCCAATCTTGAAATCTGCGAGTTCTTGCAATTATTTTGGTATTGCAGTTTTATTTTAAGTTATATAATATGGGTGTGCACAGTTGTGTCTAGATCTTATAAGGATCTGATACTCTGATACCCGTTGTGTTGGGAGTTATATATGTTGTCATGCGAAGTATGGATCAGCTAGAGCCTTGATTGGGATGTCTTAGGGGCACTTGGAACCATTATTGTAATCTTTGGCTACTATAAACCCTAAGAAGCAGCTAAAATTATAGTTTTTGCTAGGGGTTTCAGTTTAGTATAGAAGTTGTTGTCTTTGCAACGGGGCACATCGGATTGTGTGGTTGAGGTCTTAGGCAAGGCCTAGACTCAAGTTTTAGGGTTCAGGGTTTAGGGTCTAGGGTTTAGGGTTTAGGGTCTAAGGTTTAGGGTTTAGGGGCACTAAGAAATCCGAGTTCCGTGGTTCAGGGTATAGGGCAAAGGGTCGTGGGTTTAGGGTTGATGGTTTAGGGTTTGGCGGGTTTAGGGTTTAGGGTTTAGGGTTTAGGGGCCCTTTACATCAATGTTCTAAGCGTCGTGTATCTCATCCGAGACAACTGAAAGTTCTGCCACGTGCACCACTTTGCTGCTTAGAGCTGGCCCCGGACAAATTCGAGTATGGCAGCTTGAGGCTAGAATTTCGCACAAGCAAACCAGCCCTACTCTGGATGCCAGAAAGTTGGAACATGAGTGCTGTCCAATGCGAAGGCCGATAACTCTGAAGCCCAAGCCCCCTAAACCCTAAACCCTATACACCTTGAGCCCAGGTGCTGTATCTCCTTCTATCCACTTTCTTCGCGGGCTCCATACACCCAACCGCCGGGCATTTCATTGCGGAGCATTACGTCATGGAGGGCGAAGTGGAACCTTTCCGTTCAAACATTAATAGCTTACCAGCGCATTCTAAAGCAGGTTTCAGTATGACTCCACCTGGTTTTTGAGAATTCTACCGGGGATTTGCCGTGTATTTCAGGTATAGCAGGAATGGCCCGCCGCCCGTTGTTAAGTGGCATGCCAGGACAGGTTCAACCTTCCTGGGGTAAATGTAAACTAAGTCCGGAAATTTGATCGTGTGATGTGATGATGAGGGCGATTAGTTTTTGTTACGAGCTCCCTCTGTCTGTCTATCTCTCTCTCTCTCTCTCTCTGTCTCTCTCAACCCTAAACCCTAAACCCTAAACCCTAAACCTTCTCTCTGTCTCTCCTTCTCATTGGCCCTGTGCCAGTCCTGGACTGAGGTTTCGTACAAGGCTTTTGTCTGAGTTTGGTTTCATTTTTCGAGGGTCCTGTCTGTACTCTGTGCTAAGATCCTTATAGTGTCCTGGCGACAGCCCGGTGCATGCCAGGAGGCGAAAAAACTTGTATAATGCCTTGACTCCTGCACAGAGCAAGTGCCAAGAATGGTGATGTGAGCAATACCCGGGGATCCCCAAACCTATGTTTTTAGCGGCTGTGCCCTCTAACTTCAGGGTCATCGCCTACTATTTTGTGCGTTTGGGGCTATAGGAATACTGAGAATCATAGCAGTTGCTGTTTCTGGGCTTGGGTCCCTCCTTGTTCCATGTTTGAGGGGGGCCACAGGGGTCGAAGCCGTAAGTTAGCCAATCATGCAGACTCGGGACGTTTTTGAAGTTTGTGAAACATGTAGGCACCCTAAATATTGCACCCTAAAAATTTACGACCCTCGTGCTTTTTGGTTGCCCGTTCGCAAAACATATACCATCCGGGGCCCGCTTTCGTATCCAAAGATATCCCAAAAGCATTCGAACCCACCCCATAAGCTGTGGCTTGTGGGTTCTTGCTCGGAGCCCTAGTAACGAATTTCTGCTAAGGGTCCCTAAACCCTAAACCCTAAACCCTAAACCCTAAACCGTGAAGCCTTCGGGGGTTTAGGGATTCCGGTCTATAGGGCTTCCATTAGGGTCCCTGAGGACCTAAGAGTCTTTGGGGTTCAACCCAGAGAGCCCAATACCCCTTAATTAAGGAATACACCTTAAATTATAGGGGCCCTAATATTATGATGCATGGTATATTCCTTAATTAAGGGGTATTGGGCTCTCTGGGAATGTTAGCTCAAGTACAATACGGATAATTCTTGAGTACTGTTGGGGTTTAGGGTTGTAGGATTTAGGGTTTAGGGTTTTAGGGCCTGTAGTAAAGATCATGCAAAATAGAGTGGCCTCAACTAACGGATTGTTTTCCCTTGTTCGGTGCTTGTTCAAATTTGTGTTTCTGCCGGGTTCCCAAATTATTTTAATTAGTTGCCGTATCAAGAATTGTATGGGCTTCCCCAAAATCATAGAACTAATGTTATTACTGTCATTATTGTCGTTATTGGTTTTGTATATATATATATATATGTATATTATTGTTCTTGAATAGAGAAAACAAAATATATGTAACATACACATATGTATGTATGTATATATATACATATATATATATGTATATATATATATATACATAGCAGTCGGTCGTCGAATCTCAGGAGACTTATTCCTATTACGGGCCGCTCAACCGCCTGGCCTACAATGTGGGGTACCACAACGCCCCGCTGCTGCCAAGTCTGGGGTCTAGGGTTTGGGCTTGTGCCCCAAACCCCATAGAACCCTAAGCCCTAAACCCTATAGAACCCTAAACCCTAAACCCCATAGAACCCTAAACCCTAAACTCTATAGAAGCCTAAACCGCCTTGTTCGGGGCTTGAGGACTTTGGGTTTCAGGCTTGAGGGATTCAGTGCTTCTGGAGGAGGACACTGGACTTCTCAAGCAGAGCTGTAGACAATGTTGGTCTTTGTTCTGTGAATATACCCGTAGGCCCCATAGTAGTTCCTTTTTGTGGCTTCTATTTAGGATCCTATTAGGTAATCCCAAAAAGGGACTACTAAGGGGCCTATGGGCAGTTTTCGGCCGCAGACGGCATCCTTTATCCATTCATGACCCTCCACGTTCACCTGTCTTTTATAATAGGCGACACAAGCCGTTCTTTGCAACTTGGTTCTCGACCTTGGCAAACCCAATGTTGGCCCCGTTTCGAAACATGCTGGGCGCATGCTTGCACGAAAAGGGGCCTAGTGTCGAGTACAAGTTTGGATGCCCCAAACCCTAAACCTTCCCTAAACCCTAAACCTAAACCTTCCATAAACCCTAAGCCCCATACCCTAAACCTTCCATAAACCCTAAACTCCGTACCCTAAGCCTTCCATAAATCCTAAACCCCATACCCTAAACCTTCCATGAACCCTAAGCCGCCTAAACCTTCCATAAACCCCAAACCCTAGGCCCTAGACCCTAAACCCTAAGCCCTAAACCCTAAACCCTAAACCCTAGGCCCTAGAGGTCCCTAGCCCACTGCAGACCTCAACCCCTCAACCACCCGCCCTCAACCGTACACGCACCCTGTCAAACCTCAATGTAGGGTTTGGGGTTTAGGGTTTAGGGTTTAGGGTTTGGGGTTTATTACTTCTACTATTTAGGGGGTTCCTTACTATTAACCCTATGCTTCCAAGGACCTCATAGTTAGGGCCCTAGACCCCTTAAGGACCCAATAATAAGGTCCCTGGAAGCAGAGGGCAACTTATCATAGCATAGTTATAGCATAATGGGCCCCAAGACCCGAATTATTCAGGCGCCTACGTTAACTGGAGTTTAGGGTTAGGCTTGACACTCCGCAAGACTCCCCTTCCCCCCCTAAATCCGTAGACCCCTGAATCCCTAAACCCTACCTCTAGTCTCCATTGTAGTTCCTTCTGATGCTTCGCCAAGTTTTCATAGTATAGGATCCTAAGCATAAAATTGGTTAACGACAAAAGGAACTACAATGGAGACTATAGGGACACTGTCCTAAACCCTAAACGCCTAAATCCGCGAAGAACTGACTTCCAAAGCCAAACCCTAAAAGCCCCAAAATCTGCAAAGCCCTGAATTCCTAAGCCTAAGCCCTAAACTCCAAACCTTAACCCGGTATAGCCCTGAAGTTCGAAGCCCTAAACCCCAAGGAGCACCACGACTTCCCCAACATTGCCTGGTCAAGCTTGCCAAAAGTTCGAGAGCTGGCTCCCGAGTGCTTCGGATGCAACATGGACTCTCTCTCTCTCTCTCTCTCTTTCTCTCTCTCTCTATATATATATATACATATTCATGTTATATATTTATATATCTACATATATATATATATATGTGGATACATGTACACACATCCAAATACATATACATATATATATATATATATACATACACATATAATATATGTGTACATAGATGTGGCCCTTAATAACTTTTGACAGGGTTTAGGGTATATTCTGTTGTATCTACTTTACAGAACCGTGAGAAATAGTATGAGTCCGAGTACCTCAAATGCAACCTGTAATCTTAAGGCTTTTGGGTTTGGGTATTCAACCCTACACCCGAAAACCCTAAACCCCAAACCTCTGAACCCTAAACCCTAAATCCTAAAACCCTAATGCCCTAAAACCCTAAACCGGTGTTGGCGTTCAGGGATTCAGAGGTTTAACGTCAAGGGCGTAGGGTTCAGGGCTTGGATTTCGCCCCGGAAGGCAGGGCTTCGTGATTTGGGGTTTATGGGGTTTAGGGGTTTGGGGTTTAGGGGCGCAGGGTTTAGGATGTTTAGGGTGTTAGGGTTTAGGGGTTTAGGGTTTAGGATTTTAGGGTTTTATAATTTTTAGGGTTCAGGGGTTTATGGTTTAGGGTTTTAGGGTTGCAGGGTGTAGGGTTCAGTGAATGATTTGTGCTACGTCCGCGGGGCTTAAACTTGGAAGCTGCTAAGAGCCATCACGACTTAGTCACCCCACGCGCGCCTGTGCAAGTAGAGTAGAAGTAGCCATAGCGGTAGGGGGTAGCGGTAGTGCTAGTGGTAGTGGTAGTAGCAGCTATCGTCGTGGTAGAGGTGGTCGTAGTAGTAATCGTCGTCGTATCTACTACGACGATACGATTACTACGGGAGCGGGAGCAGCAGCGCAGCGGTCCCTCTCCCAACAATCAGAGGTCAAGTCCGAGCCCCGAGAATGAAACAAGAGCTTTCTTTGTCAGGTTGCTGCTTAGGGTTTAGGGTTTAGGGTATACAGGTTGTTCAGTGGCATGCATGTGTTACGTTGTCGTTTCTGGGTTCCAATGATAAACGAACCTACCCCAGAAAAGTCCAGGCTTGATCCGGTGGGTTACTGAACAGCCTAGGTCTAGGACAGTTTCAGGTGGGTAGTTACCGTTATAGGAGCCTTATAGAAGGTCTATATACCTTATAGAAGCCTTATAGAAGCCCTATATAGACCCTAAACTCCCCACCTGTAGTTTCCTTTAACTAGGTATGTACCGGACGGGCAGACCCTAAACCCTAAACCCCAAACCCTATAAACCCTAAACCCTAAACCCTAAACCCTAAACACTAAGGCTACTCACACGAAAAAGCCCTAAGCCCGAAGCTCTGGAGCCCGAAACCCGAGACCCCGAACTGGAAACCCCTGTTCCCCTAAGGGTCCATGTGGGGGTTTCCGAAAATAGGGGACCCTAATATAGTATCCTAAATAATAGGATCCTTATTATAAGGACCCCAAAATAAGGTACCCCTAGATTTCGGAAAGTCCCATGTGCCCAAATAGTATATGGGTAGTTTTCGAAATTAGGGTACCTTTTAGGGTCCATATTATAAGGGTGCCGTACTGTATTGGGGACCCAACAAGGGATCCTGTTTTAGAGAGCTACCCAGATACGTTGGCCTTAAAGTAGTCCCTATGTAAGTACTTCGGGGCCAGAGTGTATATTATTTGGGTACATGGACACTGAGGCTTCCATAAACTAGAACCCTGGGTCTTAAGCCCCGAAGCCCTAAACAACAACACTAACATAGAGGCCTGACTAACTAGAATTCGGTTTTGGGTATATGATATTATCTTTACAATAAAGAACCCCCCAAAACCCTGTTCTGATGATTAAGGCCCCGGCATTAACATGCCAGCCCCTATGAAAGCTGAACGAGGGCCCAAGACCCCTTGAGGACTCAAGAATACCCTAAACCCGAAACCCTAAACCCTCAACCCCTAAACCCTAAAGCCGCAAAGCCCTGAACCAAAAAGTCCCTAAACCCTCCATCCATATAGAGCCCGCTACGAAAGCTAAGCGTATACCATAACCTGGGTTCTTCTTACATTAAGTTACAATGATAGGGATCTATATCGTACATAACCTGGGTTCTTCTTAAGGAACTTAGTTTAAGTTACAATGATAGGGATCTATATCGTAAATATGACGGTTTCCTGATAACAGTAACTTACCCTAGGCTTCCAAGGACCTTACAGTTAGGGCCCTAGACCCCTTAAGGACCCAATTAACAAGGTCCCTGGAAGCCGAGGCTTAAATCAGATCCCTTACCCTAAGGGTCCATGTGCCCAAATAATAGATACTTTGGCCTTAAAGTAGTCTCTATATTATAGGTACTTTGGGGCCAAAGGGTACATGGACCCTTAGGGTTAACCAGAACCCAGCAGCGCATGGAAGGTATTACAACAGCCTCCCGCAGTGCCCCAGTTGGCCAGGCCTTCTGAAGATTCAGTTCGGAGGGTACTTTAGGGTTTAGGGTTTCGGGTTTAGGGCGGGGGTACTTAACGGTTTGGGGTTTTCAGGTTTAGGGTTTAGGGTAGACTTAGAACTATATAGTTCGTAGTTATCCTTGGTGGTTATAACCCCTTAAGAAGCAGCTCGAATTGCCGTTTCTGCTAGGGTCCCAAGTTCAGTTTAGGGGCTGGCTTTTGGTCTTTCAAGAGCTTGGAGGTTTCGGGTTCGGGCTTTTCTTTCAGAGTTCCCTTTAGAGCATGAGGACATTGAGTTTCCGACTTCAAGGGAGATACCGCATGAGTCTTATGTTTATCCATATTCTCAGTACTATTTCTAGGCATGTTTGTATATGAGGGCTCCACAAGGTTTTGACTAGAGCTTTCGGTGTGTCAGGTTCCGGGTTCCAACAAATGGTTTAGGGCTTCGGGTTTAGGATTTAGGGTTTAGGGTTTAGGGTTTAGTTAGGTTTAAGGGTTCGGGGATTCGGGTTTAGGGTATTGGGTATGCCTATGCGGTTGTCAGTAGTTATCGTAGGCGTGTCATTGGAGTCGATGTATGATCAACCTGAAGCAAAATCTTGAGCACGAAACCGCACATTGCAGTCGATGTATGATCAACCTAAGGCCAAATCTTGAGCATGAAGCCGTACAACATAACAAGCTACGACTGAAGAAACCCCCAAACCCTATTCTCATTATTAAGGCCCCTAAACCCTAAACCCTTATAGAACCCTTTAAGGAACCCTGTAAGGAACCCTTAAAGGATCCCCAAAACTGCTTGTCCTTAAAGAGGTTTGCGTTCCGTGTGTGACTCAACCAGGGCCTGGGCAGCTACTGCAAAAGATGCAAGGACGAGCGAGAAGCGCAACCAAACCCAAAGGGTCCATGTACCCATATAGCATATACACGGCCTAAAGTACCTATATAGGGGAAAAAACTGATAGGAGCCACGAACCC